GACTCTCACAATCACAACGATAAGCCCAGCTATGTAAGAGATCATTGACATTAAGCTGAAGCCTTGTTCTTCCATTCTACAAAGGACAAGTGTCAGAGCTAGAGTCAGCTGTCAGATTTTGTTTTTACTTCCAATAAGCTAAAAAAAAAAAAACAGAGAAAAAAAAAAAGATTTTAAAAAAGAGGAAACTCCATGGGTTTAAAAAAATTTTAGTAAGAGTTTTACGGTACTTGCAACACAATAAGGTCATAAATATAAGTGTCGAAGATTCGAGGTGTTACAAGAGAGTAACAAACATAAAAAAGAAGGAGGAGAAATCAGAATAAGGTCATATAAGTGCCGAAGAATAAAGGTGTTACAAGAGAGTAACAAACATAAAAAGAAGGAGGAGAAATCAGGACGATAGATGTTTGATAGGAAAGAAGGAGCAAACCACACCAGAGCATCCGTCAACCACCCGCGGAGAGGGCTGTGACAAACTCACCACGACGTGGTGTCCGATAAGCTCCAACGACTGTCGCGTTCTCTGGTGTACCAATAGCTCTATGAGGTCGTACAGAAAGTAACCTGGGAACGAAAATGTGACATGATGACAAATATAAATCGTGTTAGAAGGTCTACCGGAAAACCTACTTTCTGTCATGAGCAACAAGCTCCGACTTTTCTCTCTTCCCTGTAGTTACCGCTGCTTTCAATCACTTCAAACCTAAACGAAAAAACACATCAATTTTCTGATGCGGTATAATTAAAAGAAGAAAAAAAAAAAGAAGGTAAATGAACATTAGGCCTAGACAGCAAAGATCTTAACGCGTTTCAGCACCATACAATTTATACATTTGGAGAATTCCCATTTTTTAAAGGTTCAAATAAGCACAACTATGGTTTGGTAAAGCTGTTGACCACACCAACAGGTCAGCAAACTAGGGACTCAAGCATGAGTAACAAACCAGCCAGGGCGATATGGAGTTATTGGTATCATCTTAAAACCTGTTCATTTGCCTTGCCTTTTGTGAAAAAAATGTCCATCAATCTTAAATAGTAGTTGAAATATTTGAGGTTGAAGTAGGAGGGTGTCGCCTGATTTCAGAGGTAAAATCAGTGAGAAAATGGCCGTCAAATTTTGGTGACTTCTATAGCTTAAGAGTCCTAGGAAGCTACAAATTTACATTTTTTGTACCTTTAATTAACGTTTTTCCATAAAATCCTCACATAAAAGTGTATCTGAGTAGGCATACAAGGTGTTGAGCAAAAAAACCCAAAACAAACCCCGCCCCTAAACTGGCCGAAAAATGTCGATTTCTCGGATTTCATTTTGACGAGCGCCTGATTTCACCACGCCACCTCACTAACAGTTGCTTACATGGAGTACCATACTTACATCAAAGCTATCAGAACCAGATCAAATCAACTATATTTCCCAAGACAGTCACAGCTGGTTAAAAATGTGACTAAAGATATAACGTGGCATATCTGATGAAATTGCACAAGTGAATAAAGCAAAAACTTACAAGAGGAGAAAAACTGTTTCAGAGAAACCATGCACCCCTATCCAAAACCATTACTGCACATAAATATAATAAATATTGTGTTTCTCTCTCTCTCTCTCTCTCTCTCTA